GGCAGGCAGCGCTGTTTGAAGGTGCAGTCAGACCCGAGAGCAGGCCTGATGCTTTGTAGTGATATTTCCAGCAGCACAATCTCATTACTTTTTGACGTGGGGGATGCGTGCAGGGGCGGATTGTCATTTCACGCTGTCAAAAGTTCCGTGAGGGAAACTGAGACGGGGAATGAGAACTTCAATGACCTGCATGCCTCTGGCTCATCAAGACTGAATATATTAAACCAAATAACACAGATAGAATCCAATGAACCGGAGCTTTTAGGATGCTTGTAAACTTAATGTCCAGTCCCCGGGGGTTTTGAACGGATCACTCCTTATCTGGACTCTTTGTAATTGGATCTATTTCACAGCCTCCTAAACCTGTCGCTATAAATGCCTCAAACCTAATTAACCTACATACGGCAGTGCATATACCGGCATGTACATATGTAGCTCAGACAGCCAGGTCTTTGTGTCCTGAGGGGGAAACGTCCTGAGGGCAGCATCCCACACCTCTCAAAGATGGACGTTTTCACATTTGGCAGCTTCCCGGCCCTTTAAAAACAGACCTGGGGGGGGGGGTCCCAAGAAGTTGATTTCACACAGACTTCTTTCCACACAGAGAAAACTTTGCTCTGTTTAAGAAACCAGGCTCTGATTGAAGCGCCTGGTTACCATGCAAACCCCGGCCTGTTACTGGGGTGACTGTCCCAAAGTGCTTCCTGGGTAATTTTCGAGGTCACTGGTTTGTGCACGCCTATGTGCTGCAGATGGGCCCACCCTCATTCAGCGCCCAGCAGGAACTCTTTCATTAGAGCCAGTGAATGGCCTCATTCATCCCCTTCACCTCAATTGGTCACGCTGCGTCTCCACAGAGGGCCCAGGACAACCCTTTCTCTCTTTCCACTCCCTCATCTTCCACGCACCACCCACCTTAGTCATGCTGCACTTTTGTTCAGGAGCATGTGGTGGCTGAAGCTCCGGGCCTCCTCAATGGCTGCAAACTGCCTTTAAGTGGAACGTAACAGACTTCTGACATTGCTGTCTTTGTTTATCTTGAAGAATGTCAAAAAAAATGCAAATTATTGTGTAGATCACGAAGATATTAGACTTGTAGTGCATTTTACATGTGATCTTACTATTAAAACGTGTTCTGGTGTTATGTTTCAGTATTTGTAAGCGACTGTGACGGAAAGAATATTGCTTTTATTTTACTTTATTATTTATTTTTTTAAGAAGGGGCAGGTCAAATAATATGTTCTTCTCCCTGCTCCTTTCCTCCATGCGCTATAATAAAACAAATCTGGAAACACTAATATGTAAAATATGCCAAAGTAATTGTTATTTGTAATGTGTAGTATTTATCACAGATCTTAAAGATCCCCTATTATGAGTAGTGTGTTCTATAGGTTTTTGTGCAAAGGTTAAAATCCTTGTGTGTCCCCCCCACCTGAAACGCCTCCATTGGACTCCTTTGTTTACTTCCTGGCAGAGGTGGGAGTAAGTCCTACATGTGCAAGTCATGAGCAAGCCTCAAGTCTTGACCTACAAGTATCAAGCAAGTCCCAAGTCACTGTGGTGAGAGTCAAGCAAGTCAAGTCATTGCTCAGGTCAAGCAAGTCAAGTCAAGTCATACAAAAGTCTGATGAATAAGCCCAGTTTCCGCATTTAAATCAGTTCAAAGACAGTGGTTATGAAAATGGATTCAACCCACACTATGATCTTCATTATATACACAGTTAATCATTTGAAATCTAATTTAGACCGATGACAATCATATTAGATTCATATTAACCCTAGAACTGCAGACAATAGAGCTAGGACTCAAAAAGTCTGTTCAAAAAGGCAGAATTCCAGGTAAGAAAATCATATATGGCATTTTCCACATATTTAATTTAAATGTCTGTTAACACTAGAACCGCCAACAGCGTCAGCACCTACATACATATCATTTTCAAATCATTGAATTTGTCCCTCTTCATAATTTCCTTATAAACTAAGTAGGACGATTTAAAACTCACTTAATTGGGTTAATTTAGAAATTGCTTCAGTTTATCATCATAACAGATCAAAAAGTTAAATCAAGGAATGATGCACTTCTAAAAAACAAAAACAACATAATGAAAACATGTAACAAACGACTAAAAGTAGATGAACTACATTATTCAAAAGTTTACAGTAACTTCTGATAATAACACAGGGGAACTAAACGAGGCATCTCTCGTGTCAACACATTCACGCACCTTTCTCTGTGGGGTTGTTTGTAGTGACGAATGAAGTTGGATGTTGTGGTGGTCGTGTCAGTGATCTTTATGCTGCAGACCCTGCATACCGCTGTTCTTTTCTTATTACGGTCATCGACAAAATAATCCTTGAATCCAAACTTGACTATTTTTGGAGTAACGCTAGCCGCTGCCATGTTAACTGACACTCCTGCCTACTAGTGGGTTGCCAGGTTTGCGCGCATGGCGCTATAATCACACAATTACATTTCGACAAAACTAAACGTAATATCTCACTACAAAAACAAACGCAATTTAAAAAAAGTCAAGTCCTTTCAAGTCATCTGTCTCAAGCTTATGTCAAGTCATCTGTCATGAATACCAAGTCAAAGTCAAGTCAAGTCTTTTATCAATGTTAGTCAAGCAGGTCTTAAGTAAAAAAATATGCGACTCGAGTCCCCACCTCTGCTTCCTGGACATAGTGACTTCACTATGTAACACTCACACTTTTATTGGCTAGCTCTCCAACACATTGTACGTGATAGGCTAAGGGGCGGGACATCTCTAAGCGGTTGACCAATCACAACAGAGCCTTCCAGCTAATCAATCAGAGCAGACATGGGCTCTAGTTTCAGACAGAGGGTGAAAAGAGGTGCTGCAGCACATTAAAGCATGGAGACATGTAGAGACACTACATACTGATATACACCTGAACATCAGCAGGAGAGGACTCTTTAAAGTAGAGACACTACATACTGATATACACCTGGACATCAGCAGGAGAGGACTCTTTAAAGTAGAGACACTACATACTGATATACACCTGGACATCAGCAGGAGAGGACTCTTTAAAGTAGAGACACTACATACTGATATACACCTGAACATCAGCAGGAGAGGACTCTTTAAAGTGGAGACACTACATACTGATATACACCTGAACATCAGCAGGAGAGGACTCTTTAAAGTAGAGACACTACATACTGGTATACACCTGAACATCAGCAGGAGAGGACTCTTTAAAGTAGAGACACGACATACTGATATACACCTGAACATCAGCAGGAGAGGACTCTTTAAAGTAGAGACACTACATACTGATATACACCTGAACATCAGCAGGAGAGGACTCTTTAAAGTAGAGACACTACATACTGATATACACCTGAACATCAGCAGGAGAGGACTCTTTAAAGTAGAGACACTACATACTGATATACACCTGAACATCAGCAGGAGAGGACTCTTTAAAGTAGAGACACTACATACTGATATACACCTGAACATCAGCAGGAGAGGACTCTTTAAAGTAGAGACACTACATACTGATATACACCTGAACATCAGCAGGAGAGGACTCTTTAAAGTAGAGACACTACATACTGATATACACCTGAACATCAGCAGGAGAGGACTCTTTAAAGTAGAGACACTACATACTGATATACACCTGAACATCAGCAGGAGAGGACTCTTTAAAGTAGAGACACTACATACTGATATACACCTGAACATCAGCAGGAGAGGACTCTTTAAAGTAGAGACACTACATACTGATATACACCTGAACATCAGCAGGAGAGGACTCTTTAAAGTAGAGACACTACATACTGATATACACCTGAACATCAGCAGGAGAGGACTCTTTAAAGTAGAGACACTACAAACTGATATACACCTGAACATCAGCAGGAGAGGACTCTTTAAAGTAGAGACACTACATACTGATATACACCTGAACATCAGCAGGAGAGCACTCTTTAAAGTAGAGACACTACATACTGATATACACCTGAACATCAGCAGGAGAGGACTCTTTAAAGTAGAGACACTACATACTGATATACACCTGAACATCAGCAGGAGAGGACTCTTTAAAGTAGAGATACTACATACTGATATACACCTGAACATCAGCAGGAGAGGACTCTTTAAAGTAGAGATACTACATACTGATATACACCTGAACATCAGCAGGAGAGGACTCTTTAAAGTAGAGACACTACATACTGATATACACCTGAACATCAGCAGGAGAGGACTCTTTAAAGTAGAGACACTACATACTGATATACACCTGAACATCAGCAGGAGAGGACTCTTTAAAGTAGAGCCACTACATACTGATATACACCTGAACATCAGCAGGAGAGGACTCTTAAAGTAGAGATACTACATACTGATATACACCTGAACATCAGCAGGAGAGGACTCTTTAAAGTAGATACACTACATACTGATATACACCTGAACATCAGCAGGAGAGGGCTCTTTAAAGTAGAGACACTACATACTGATATACACCTGAACATCAGCAGGAGAGGACTCTTTAAAGTAGAGACACTACATACTGATATACACCTGGAAATGATAATAATAATAATAATAGGTCGGTGCATTAGCTTCCTGTTGCACAAACGACTCCAAGGAGCCGGTCCAGCAGAGCCATGTTATCCCTTAAGTTTCTCCACTGAGTATTTCCTGAAACTGCAGTGCTTAGACATGCTAGTGACTCTTCTACTTTCTATATTTTTTTGGCCGTCAAGTGAGTCTCACGTCTGGCCTAGTGAGAAGTGACTAATTGTCTTGAGTTGTTAGTGTGCCTGGAAAGAGATCCACTTCCATCTGCGACAGGGTGCACCGTCATTTTGTTTCTCCCTTCCTCCTCCTCCCCTCTCCCTCTTTCTCCTTCTTGCTGCAGATTTGCCCCTTCTGCTTCTCAAGCTACTGAGCTGTAAAATTGAATGGACGGCAGGCAGGATAAAGAATGAGACCTGGCATCGTGGACGCACTAACCTTGAGGAGGGCCACTGCTGCTGGCTGCACCTAAAGAGATGGAGACAGAATGTCAGCCATATTGGACCGAGGAAGGTTCAAATGAGAAGGGAGGAAAGATGGAGAGCCTTGCTGAAAAACAATAGCTTAGTAAAGCAGCACGAGACAAAACAGACAAATTAGATGATGGAAACAGAAAAACGATTAGGTAATCATTTGTGTCCTCTTTGTTCTTCCTCCCCTCCACCTTTACCTAATAACACACCATGTAAACTGCATTGCACAATTACAGCAGCAACCTTTACAACTCAACAAATCATACAGAACACTTAAAATGTCAGACAAAATGTTCATATATAGTACAAACATTGCATTATAAAAGCGACCCCGGAACAAAGTGGTTTCGAACAACACTATCCTTCGTAATGAAATCAACTCGTATGGAAACTCCTGGAACGAACCGGGCAATCAATTACTATGAATCACAAATACACTTGCTGCAGTTTAGATGTGAACAAATGGAGCCTCAGTCCCTTACAGATGATATTAGTGCTGTGAGCTGCTCTCTCTCCACGAGAGATTAAGCAGGTTGTACTCTCCCAGGCGGGCAGTGCTCCCCCTCCAGGGTCCGGCACTATCATTTGCAGGAAAATTACTTCAGTAATGAAGAATCCAGGCCCATAAATCCTTATGGCCTCACCTTCCTTCGCCTCCCAAGTCTCGCTGAACAGCTAGTAAAAATTCCCTTTAAAAAATTCATAGCGCAATTTTGCTCAAATCCCTCCCAGCAAGCACAATTATGGAACTTTCATCTCAATTGATTTATGTCCGGGGCCAGGAGAGGGGGGCTTGTGTTGGAAAAGGGGGGCGGGTTGTGAAACGGGTGAAAAAAACAAGTGGTAAATCATTGTTTTTAAAAGGAAAGGCGTGCAGCCTTTTGTCACTTTCACTGCGTTTGTGTTGTAAACGGCAGGCAATAGAGAGGTGCGCGGATAAGGGGAGAAGGAAGAGGGATGAGAATGTCTGAAAGCTTTGAAAGCAGGATTGAAATGGCAAAAAAGGAGGAGGAGGGGTGGAGGGAGATGGGGGTGAAAGAAGCGGTATTCCACTTGATTAATAACACTAATCAAATTATACAGTGTTCCACTGTGCCCTGAAATCTGGGGCCATAATGTCCTCTAATGGCGAGGTTCATGGAGCTAAACTTCAGAGGGAAAACACGGTGCTGACTGCTGCATGCCTTAATGAAGGCAGTAAAACATCCATTTCCAGAAGCCATGAAATGAAAGGCGAGATTGTAGATGTGCACCCAGTGGCTCTCCAGCAGAAAAATTGAAGGCTGTTAACACAAAGACAGTGTCGGAGAGAGAGAGAGAGAGAGAGAGAGAGAGAGAGAGAGAGAGAGAGAGAGAGAGAGAGAGAGAGAGAGAGAGAGAGAGAGAGAGAGAGAGAGAGAGAGAGAGAGACAAGACCTTAAGAAGAGGAATGAGGAGAAAATAGTACAAGAGAAGAGATTTAAAGGGCAAGAACACCAAGAGTGAGGTGATATAAAAATAAAAGGGATGATGAAGTGAGGATAGAAAGACAGATTGGACGCCTTCAGTGCTTTATTTCCAAAGAAGTTCTCTTTTGGCATGAAGACAATCTGTGTCTGTTGATTATGGATGAGCCAGGCTGCTTTACAATGTCTGTTATACTTAGTGCTGCTGACAGCAGCCACAATTCATCACTATTTAGTTGCTGATGCACCTAACCACAGCATCCTCCCCCTCATCTATCTCAATACCTCTCCATTAGAGTATTCCTTATGTCCGTGCAGGCATGCGTTCCATGATCCATCTATCCATCCGTATTTCCATCGGTCCATCCAGTCGTGTGAGCATTCGGCTATCCATTCGCTCTTCCAACCTGACATCCATACATCCATCTGTGTGGCCGTATACCTCTCTCTCAATCCAGCCGATGTACTGTAGTGTAAATACAACTCTGAAAGATCTGAAACATACAACAATGCTGCCCTGACTGCAAATGTCAGTTTGGAGCTATAGGTAAGAGGTTAGCTTAACTAGCTAACTGAGCTATAGTTATTTGTATGCATCGCGCCAAAGCAGAATGACTTCTGCTGGTAGTGGCACATTATATGTGACATCAAAGTCCCGCAGTAACAAAGTGTGCTTCACTAGAAATAACTGAAATTCCAGACACTTAAAATACACAAAAGCATTATGGTTTCCAATTAATCTACTAAATTGCACGTGCTACAAACAATGACATCAGCCGTTTCTATCTTGAATAAAGCAAATGATGTATGTTGTCCTTGGGGTGCAAACATATCATCTGGAGAACAAGGGAGGAAAGAACAACAAAGCTGAGAAAACACACAATGCTATTGTTATTATTATCATAATTACAGTTGTGCTTATCATGCAAGCGGCCTCAATCAGGATGACATACAGTTTCATTGGATGCAGCTTCCTGTTTTGACTGGCTCCAGTTTGGGAACTGCACACTTGGCTGGCGTGCCAAAAACTCAATCAGGCGCAATTACATAGCCATCAGATAGAAATGTAATTGATTTGAAAGCTGACATGAGATATAACTACATTACAGTGGAGGCACAGTGGGGAGGCTCCTGGGGGACGGGGCCTACGGGGAGCTCATTACCGCCAAGCTTTGAATTATTGAGTGCTAAGGCAGTGACATTGAGGAATAGAGGCGGACGATTGGCTGTTACAACTCAGCAAGTGTTTATCTCAACTTACAGCAACCTAAGACATCTGAAGGGGTGATATGACCGTGCATAAATATTGCAACGGGAGAAGTTGTAATGGTTCATAATTGAAAGGGTTCAGACCAAGGTAGCGTCTGTGGGCTCACTCACGCTATCTAAGTTTCCATAGCAATAATAACACTACTTTGTCCTCGGGTCACGTATTTAACACTTTGGTTAGCATTTGGTTAGTGAAAGCATCACATGTCACACCTCATGCTACACAATGAAAGCTCTGTATCTAAGCAGGGTACTTTCCAAAATCTACTTTCACTTAAGTTAAATGAGTGTTTATCTGTAAGTGACCTACTTGTCTTTTGTGATAATTCACCACTACTTTCATGTTTGAAGACACATTTTCAGTGTTTCCACTCTTTAACCGTCATGATCCTATTTTCTAAGTTTATCTGTTTCCTGTTTTACTTTGAAAGGTTTTCTGCCCCTGTGTCATGTCTGTAATATTAGTCTTCCTATGTCCTGCATTTGGGTCCAACCTGCTCCACTATGTGACAGTTTCAGGTAATCCAGACTACAATAATAATACAGGGTAATACAGGGCAAGGCAAAATAATACAGAAATACAAGCAGAGCTAATGAGGGGATAAAGTGAGGTCAAGCAGTAACAGGGCTAATGGGAAACAGGTGAAACTAACAAGGCTAGCACAGTTTATCAAAACAAGTGTGAAAACACACATGGACAGGAAGTAAAAACAGACATGGCACAAGGAGAGAAAACAAACCCCCATGAAGTGTGCCGGACGTTGAAGTAAATTGTCATAGTGGCCAAACGGTGGTACTACAACCACCGTGTCTGTCCGTGACGTCATTGGACCCAAACATACTTTTTCCCCATTGACTTACATTGGGCAAATCAGCAGATATTGTTTTGGGGATGAGTCAACTTCCCAGTATGTTTTCATAGCCCTTATTTAAATCATTGTGTTAAATGTGCTAATAACTGAACCTAGAGTTATTTTACCTCTGCATTCATTCGACTGAGCCGAGAGCGACTGTGACGCTGTGGATTGGAGGCGGTGCTTAGAGTAAGCGTAAGTGCCCAGATTCGGGTACTTTTGCAAGATCATTTTGGCTTCATGCTACTCTGAGCAACTTTCAAAGGACTTCACTTCGCCCTGTCTCAGACGCTGTATCCAGTTCTCTTTACACATCCATGGAGAACACCTTTCAAAAAGACAAACCAAAGACTAGGATCATGACATTACTCCTGAAGACACCAATAGCTTAAATGAGGTGGTATGTTCCATCATCTGCCTGACCCTGACCACCAGCCTGCGTCTTCCCTGAAGTGCTGACTGTTGAGAGGATAAAGATGTAAGCCACTGCAGAGCGGCCTCGACGTCCCCCAGGAAACCAGTGCCTTCCTCTGGGAGAGCGATGCCCCCTCAGGCTCATGCCACTGATCTCACTCCGTCTCTTTCTCTCTTTCTATCACTGTTCTCTCCCTCCTCACACAGCCCTCCTGTGAGCTTTCACACAAAAATGAGAACTCAATTAATTCAGGCGAAATGAGGACGCGAAAGGAGGAGGAGGAGGAGGAGGCCTGGGGAGCCCGGAGAGACCGAGAACAAGCAGGAGGGGGGAGGCTGCACATCGCTGCGTGTCGATGTGCGGCCTGGAAACGGCAAACAAGAGCACGGGGTGACTGTGCATGAGCATTAAGTCTTTAGCCGAGTTAATTCTCTCTGCAGTTTAAACATGGCTGATGAACTCTTCATCACAGAGGTATGGGTTGTTCTGAGTAAATAGACGGGTCAGAGGGAGGCAGACAAAGAGCAAGGCCTGATAGAGATGAGCAGATATAATTAAAGACCATCAGTCTTGGGACCATATCACAAGTTGACCTTTTGAGAGACCTCTAAGAGTTCCGCGACTGACTTTCTAGCTCTTGAGGAACAATGGTGACATGTACTGTGTTATTATGCATACAAAAGACATACATCCCTGTAGTCTCTTGGCAGGTTAACAAATCAACTCACACTTTAAACATGACATAGTCACTAGCAATTATACAGATGCATCAAAGGAGATTTTTAAAGTAGAAATACTAGTAGAATTACAATACAACTATAATATTACAATTGATTTCAACACATGACTCAAATCACAGTCAATATCCATGTTCCTGTAGATGTACATTTACAGTCCTACGTATGCCCTTACAATAACCAACATAGCATGGGGCATGTACACACTCGTGTCAACACGGCTGCATGTATGTCAGTTTATGAATGTGACCTGTGACCTTTGACATTGTGAACAA